CGCAGGGGGAAAGTGGGGAGTGACTGCCAATGGCTGCGGAGTTTCCTTTTGGGGCGATGAAAATGTGCTGAAGTTGGTGATGGCCAGGGTTGTGCCTCTCTGCGAATATATGAAAAATCACTGACTCGTACACTGTCAATGGGTGTATTGTATGGTGTGCGAATTGTCTCAACAGAGCAGAGTTATCACTCTCCCGATCTGCACCATCTCAGATGCCACCTCCCCCCCCCCGCCGCTAAGTCCCATGGAAGTCGGTCCCTCCCTCCAAGCTAGTGCTAGCTTTTCCCCTATTTTAAATTTTTTTTTGGGGGGGTAAGATTAGCCCTGAGCTAACTGCTGCCAATCCTCCTCTTTTTGCTGAGGAAGACTGGCCCTGAGCTAACATCCGTGCCCATCTTCCTCTACTTTATATGTGGGACGCCCACCACAGCATGGCGTTTGCCAAGCGGTGCCATGTCTGCACTGGGATCCGAACCAGCGAACCCCAGGCCGCGGAAGAATTGCACATTTAACGGCTATGCCACCACGCCGGCCCCTATTTTAACTTTTTTTGGACTCTTCAGTGTGATTTTTTGTATTATTGTGGTAAGATATACATAACATAAAACTCACCAGTTTAACCATTTCCAAGTGCACAGCTCCGTGGCGTTAATAACCTTCACGCTGTTGTGCACCGGCCCCACCATCCTTCTCCACTTTCTCTTCTTGCAAAACTGCAGCTCCACGTCCGTTAAACATTAACCCCCTGTCCTCCCACCCGCCCGCCTGCCCTGGGCACCCAGCCTTCTTCTTTCTGTCTCTGTGAATCTGCCGACTCGAAGGGCCTCTTGCAAGTGGAATCATACGGTATTTGTCCCTTTGTGACTGGTTCCGTCGCTCAGCGTCATGTCTTCCAGCTTCATCCATGTGGTAGCGGGTGTCAGAATGTCCTTCCTTTTTAAGGCTGAATAATCTCCATATTTCCCCCCTTTGAAAGGTGGGGCCACTGTGACCACATACACTGGAAGGTGGTAGGGCCAGAACTCACACCAGGCTGTCCTGACTCCACACCCTCCACTCACCACTCTGCTACCCAGCCCCCTCCCAAGCCCCATGCTGACTCCCCCCAGCCCCACCGCACCCCTACCCTTGCTCTTGCCCCCTTTCCTCCTCACTGAGGGCTCCTAGGGCTCAGATAGCCTTTTACTCACCTTTCACCTTTGGACGCTGACCCCACATACAGTGCCTGGTGGAGTCCCAAAGCCCAAAGCATGTATGGAATTGACTGGACTTAGAGGGCCTGGCTGGGGGTCAAAGTGGGCAGAGCCTGGCTGTGCAGCCCTCTGGGTCAGGCTCCCCCAGAATCAGCCTCTGCTAAATCAAAGCCACCCAATGACCAGGAGCCCTGCAAAGAGCTGTGCAGTCTACAACCTGCACAACTGTACATGGCCATGCTGCCCATGGCCCTGATGGCTCTGGAGGTTCCCAAATCCAGGGGGCCTCTGAGCTGTGCTCTGAGAAGGGGAAGAAGGAACACGACTTAGAGGAGCCCCAGGCAAATGAGATGTGGTCCAGAGAGCAGACTGAGGGTTGCCAGGGGCTGGGGGAAGGGAGAAGGGAGGAGTGACTGCCTGACGAGTACAGGTTTCCTTCTGGGGTGATGGGAGTGTCCTGGAACCAGACAGTGGTGACAGGGGCACAACCTTGTGAAAGTACTAAAAGCCACTCAATCGCGCACTTAAAAAATGGTTGAAATGGTAACTTTTATGTTATGTGTATTTTACCACAATGATAAAAAAAAATGCCTCGCCCCCACCCCCAGCTTCAGCACCATCTCAGGGCCCTTCTGTATTGTGGGGCCCAGGTGGAGGGCCACTCATGTCCCACAAGGGTCTGGATCCCGGACCCTCTCACTCCTATACCCCCCTCACCCCCCTGTTGTCGGTGTCACACTGAGCTGTCTAGCTGAGGACCTTTCTCCGCAGGATGCCTTCCGGGGGCTTCTTCATTTGGGCCCAGGGTTTTACTCAAACAAATGCTTTTCTAATGGTTGAATTTCCTGTGGCAGTAGCCCATCTTTGGGGAGATAATAAGAGATGTGGGGTGGTTTCTGGAGGCTTCGAAACCCACCTCATCAAAAGGCAGCTCTGGCTTCATCATTCCCACAGGGTGCAGGATGCAGCAGGTCGAGGCTGAAGGTCCCGCCCTGGGACTGACTTCATGCCCCCAGTGTTCCCATCGAATCAGCCCACCCTTCTGGTACCTTCTCAGTCCGGGGCCGGGATGTTTGGATATCCTTGCAGTTCTGACTGGAAAATCACATCTTCCTGGCACTTCCACTGCATCCCTGGAGGAAGAAGGCATTGAAGAACCAGAGTCCTGGGTTTGAGTTCCTTACTAGCTGTGTGACCTTGGGCAAGTTACTCAACCTCTCTGTGCCTTCGTTTCCTTGTCTTTAAAATGAGGATTAAACTAGTTTTGACCTTGAGGGTTTTTTTTTTTTAAATTTAGGCAATAATCATATAACATAAAATTAGTCATTTTAATGTGCACAATTCGGTGGCATCGAGTGCATTCACAATGTTGTGCACCCACCACCGGTATGGCGTTCCAAAAATGTTTTCATCATGGCAGGGATTGTTTCTGAGATCAAGTGTTTGAATGTTTGTAAAGCCTTAGCGCAGCGCCTGGCACAGCGAGTGCCCACGAGCGCTATGTAAGTGGGTAAGTGGTAGGAGCAGTGCTTACTAGAAGAGAGCTCACTATAGATAACACGTGGCAGGCGGGGCTCTTATTAATCCGATTCCCTGGGGCTGGAGGAGGAGTTAGGTTCTCGCCACCCCCGCCCATCTGGGCGGTGTTTTCCACTTTGCGCTCTCTGTGCCCACCCCGCTGTACCCCCGCCCCAGGAGTCCTGTCCTCACTGATTTGAGGGGCAGGGGAGGCGCTGATGGGAGCCAGGAAATCTCGAGCCGCCCCGAAAGTCCCAGGGCCTCTCCTCTGCTCCTTTTGGCTCTTCTTGGCCTCGCTCCCTGCACCTCCCATGCCCACTCCTGCTCCCCCAAGCTGTCACCTTCTGTGGCAGAGGACTCCCGTGTGGGGGTGGGGTGACCGGGAAGATTCCGCCTGGGTGGAAGAGAATGGACTCGAGTGGAAGCACACCCACCTCTGGGAGGAGCCCTTATGACCCATTGTTCCTCCCTTAGGAGAGCACCACCTCCCTCCCCAGGGCCGGCGTGGACCTTGAGAAACCCAGGATCCCCAGGCCCTTGGAAGGACTCCCAAGATCTGGCAGCCAGCACTGCCAGACTTGTCCACTTAGGAAAACCACTGGGGAGCCTTTCAAACAAGCAGATTCTGAGCGATGCCAAGGAATCTGCATTTTGACATGCGCCCTTGCCGCGAGGAGCCTTAGGAGCGGTGAAGCTTGGGACAGTCTGCTCCGCCTCGTCCTTCCAGGTGTAAACCTCCCTCTCTTGGTCACCTTATGCCAACTTAAGGCCTTTCGTGCTGTAACAACAGCTAAGTGTTCATGCTCGCTGTGCGCCCTGCACTGACGCCCAGGAGGAGCATGGGAGTTTCCTTGATGAGCACGGGGTACAGCGAAACATCCCTGGACGGGGTCTCCCCCGACAATTCCCCTTCCTGGAGACACCCAGGAGCCACGGACTGTTGTTTGCTGCCACCTTGTGGCAGAGATGGGAATTTTGTGCTCCATTTCCCTCCTTGATAACCTTAACCAAGAAAATGCACTGAGCACCTACTGTGTGCCAGGTCCCCAGTAAGATCCTGCGGACAGGGGACAGATGAACAGGACAGACAAGGTCCCTGCCCTCGCAGAGCTCACAGTCTCCCAGGACACACAATCGGTAACCCACAAATAAATACAATGAATGAATGAAGAAGATGATCACAGAGCGTGATCCACGCTAGAAAGGAAACCAGCAGGCTAATTATCACAGGGTGCGAGGATATATTTGATAAACGGAGCGTTGTCTGTCTCCCTCCCGATCGGCACCCCTTCTCCGTGCCCGGGACTGTGGACCACCCAAGGGCAGGCGCGTCTTTCTGACTCCCTCCTGTGAATGGGTGAAGTCACTCAGTGCTGGCACATAGGCGCTCAGTAAATGTCGAATGAATGACTACACTGATGACGAGGCTGTCCAGAGACAGCTTCTTGGCACTTCCAGGCAGAACAGACGGGGAGGGAGAAGGGAGGGCTTATGGACGGGACGCTGGGTCCCCAGAGATCCTGGGAGGGCTGGAAGGGTTTGGCTGCGAGCTAGAATGAGGATGATGGGCAAATGGCACCCTCCCAAGGAGGCCCCAGTCACCCTGTTTTAAATCGTATCCTCACTCTGCTGGCTTCTTGAACCCCTTCCCTGCTTAGTTCTTTCGCCATCTCCAACAGTACTGCATATTCGCCTTATTCGGTTAAGGTGTGCCCCCCTACCCGAATGCAAACTCCCCGAGAGCGAGGATTTTTGTGTTTTGTTCACTGATGACTCTCCAGAGCCTGGAAGGAACTGAAATTTAGTAGTTGCTTAGCAGTAGGGTGAATGAATGATGATGGGCGGGGTTAAGGCAGGGCCATGAGGGCCCTGGGGCGGGGCCCGTGGGAGGGGCGGGGCTCGGAGCCCGGGAGGAGCGAGTTGATCCGAGTTAGGGGAGAAGCCAAAGCTAAACCTTCCCAGGAGGGGCGGGGCTGGGCGGGGCTGGGCGGGGCAAGGGTCCTCCTGGGGGCGGAGCTAGACTGGGGGTGGAGCCTTGGGGCGGAGTCTGTCTGGGGCTGGGCCACTCCATAGGCTGGGTGCCTTAGGGGGCGGGACCACTATGTGGGCGGGGCCTACATGAGGCGTGGCCAATCTGGAGGAAGAGCCGTGCTGGGGGCGTGGTCAAACGGAGGGCATGTAAACTAAAGGGAGGGGCTACGGTTGGGGCGGAGCCCCTCAGGAGGCGGGGAAATCTGGGCGTGGCCACGGCAGGGCGGCGTGGGCGTGGCCAGGCTGGGGGCGGGGCCAGGCCGGGATCTCCGCTGTCCTGGGTCCCGGAGTGCTCCCTCCCGGCAGGTCTCTCTCCAGCCCCGCAGTCGTCTCCCTGGCCGGCCCGTCTCCAGGGTGCGCAGGGCCCGACGCCCCCGGCTCCGCGGCCGCGGTCGGGCCTCGGCCCCCGCACTGCGCTCTGGGACAGGTGACCGCGGGGGCCCCAAAGAGCTCAGCTCCGCATCCCCGGAGACTCCGAGGGCGAAGGTGAGCAGGGCTGCGGGGACCGGTGTGTGCACGCCCGTGTTGGTGCCTGTGTGTGTGCATGTGTGTGGACGTCTGTGCGCACCGGGGGAATTCTCTAGGTGCGTGGAGTTGGAGAGGTGCGTGCTCCGGGGAGCTTTGTGTGTGTGCAAAATTTCAAGAGCGTGCAAAAGTAGTCCCGTGTGGGAGGAGAGTCGTGCATATGAGTGCGTGTGTGTGTGAAAGAGACAGTGGGTGTGAAATTTGGTAAAGATCATGTGTGTATGTCAGGGTGTTTTGGAGGAAAATGGGAGGGCAGGTGCAATGATACTTGGGGGCACTTACAGCATCAGGATGTCTGTGCGAGCTGTGCGGGTGCGTGGGTGGTGAATTGTGGGAGTGTAAGAACTGCGAATGTGTGTGTTTCCATGTGAGTGGCGGTGAGGGGTGCTTCTGGGGTTCTCAATTTGAAGAGGTGGGGACCGAGGAAAGTTTGGGGGTGCTGATTGCTCTTGGAGGGGGAGTGTGGTCTGAGGCTGTGGGTAATGGACAGTGGAGGTGTTTGGGGCCTGGCCAGGAGTAATTTGGGAATCATATTGCCCCCCCCCCCCCCCCCCCCCGGCTTTGAGGGCTGGGGAGATGTGTGGGCAAGGCCAGAGGGGGCTGGGCCTGCCCCTTGCATGGGGAGCAGTGGGCAGGGTTCTTGCTTCATGTGGAGGGAGCGGCTGCCTCACCAGTCCCCTGTCACCCAGGCCCCGTGCTCACTCCTGCCTGGCTTCAGTTGGCGCTCCTGCGAGAACATGGTGCAGAAGTACCAGTCTCCCATCCGCATCTACAAGTACCCGTTCGAGCTAGTCATGGCGGTGAGTGACCCTGGTTCTCCGGCCCCCGTATGGAGGTTGGAGGGACATAGGAGGTCAGCTGTGATGGGAATGAGAGGGAGCCCCGGAGACCCCCCAGATCAGAAGGAATTTTTGAGCTCCTTCACTGACCTGGGGAGTCCAGCTGCTAACCAGTGACTCTCTACCTGGCCAGCCCACCATCCACCCAACTTCTGGAATCCTTGCCCACTGACCAAAACACAAGGTCTTTCTTTTTCCTTGTTGAAGCTTACATGTTCTCTCACCTCAGCCTTCTCTGACAGGAAACAAGGATATCAGGGGCCAAGCCACTGCTGTCATTTTTGTGTAATGATAATAATAATAGTAAATATAACAATGATGGTGATGACACAGCCATTCACTGAGGGTGTACGGTACTGTCTTCACATCCGTGGTTTCATTTAATTCCTAACAGCTGGCATTGTTCTCATTTTACCTCTGCTAAACTGAAGCTGGGATGGTCAAGGGATTGGCCCCAGGTTCTGTGGCTAGCAAGAGGTGGAGCCGAGGCTCAGAGCCACGCGAGGGGGACTCCAGAGCTGGGATTTAACTACAGTGCCCCCCAGGGTCCTCCTCCTGCCACACACTGCCTCCCTTTCTCTTCAAGGAAGCTGAGACCAGGAGGAGCATGTGGGGGTGGGGAGGGGGCAGGAAGGGTCTGGGAGCCGTCATTTTCATACTCAAGTCGGGCAGCCAGTCAGCTGGGGTCCTAGAATTGGCTCCCAGGCTCTTGGGCTCCTAGATCAGTGGTCTTTGTTCCATGGGGTGGGTGCTGGAGCCGGTGGACATGGCTTTCCTTCTTGGCGCCGTCCCCTCTGCCTGTTGGAGCCACCCTTCCTGGTAAAATAGGGGCAATGCCCTGGAGGTGTGGGGAGGGGGAAATGAGGTAACGCCTGCTGCCTCTGGCTCAGTGCCTGGCACACAGTAGGTGCTCACTAAATGTACCTGCCCCTGTTATTACACCACATGGTATTATAAATGATTGTACTGGAAGTGCAAGGAACACGGGCAGGCATCCACCCCCGTCCCTCCCAGCCCACCCCTGGCTGCTCGATTCCAGTCTTTGATCCGAGGACTTGCGTATCAGTTGTGCCTCTGCGCGTGTGTGTGTCCTGCCTGATCTTATTCTATGAATCCACCTGCATATGTGTTTATAGTCCCATAGAGGATTTAAAAGCCTCCCTGGAGCCGTCCATCCGTGTGCTGTTATGGGTAGATGGTTCCAGGTCAGGAAAGAGGCAGGGACAGGCCCGGGGTCATAGTGACTAGCTGGGTGAACTTAAGCAAGTTACTTACCCTCTCTGAGCCTTCACTCCCCATCTCTAAAATGAGGATTCCATGGTTTCCAAATCTGGGCATCGTGCTGTGGATTAAACTAATCAATGCGTGTGAAGCTCCCAGCGCAGGGTCTGGCACAGACCAAATGCCGTTACTATTATTGTTACTGTTGTTAGTGTTGTCGCTGCCTGCGGCTGTGCGACTTTCCTTCATTTGTAGAGTGGGTAGGACACCAGGGATGATGAAGAGACTTGGGGACAAGCGGTCAGAAGCACTGGTCCCTGCCGCTGCCCCGCCTGCTCTGGCTGTGTGTCCTGGGAAAGCCACTGAATGCATCTGAGCCTCGGTTTCTTTTGTGAGATGGAGATGGTTGTCACGAGGATAAAGGTGATGCCAGTTTGTGGGGGTGGTGGGGGCGGGTGCCCAGCACAGGGCTCCATCCAGACTAAGTAGCTGAGTATAAAGACTCGTCTTCCGTCTAAGGCTCCAGGGAGCTCACGTATTCTAAGACCCCGGGACTCATTCATTCATTCATTCACTCAGTAGAAGAGAGGCATTGTCCCCAATCTTCTGGAACAATCCAGGCACCCGATTCTCTGCCATGAAGCTGAGACCAATAAGTATAGAATGGAAAACGAATAATGTTTCAGTACTGCATGAACTTGATAAATGCAAACTTAATTTAGCATGTTTAGGAGTCTCAAAATATTTGCCATCATTGCACTTTGCGATAAAGCATGCCCGCTGAGGTGGCACTGAAGACTTTATTAAAAGGACTAGTAACGCACTCGCATGGCCTTCACTGGAATATGTTCAGCGTGTTTTGTAAGCATCGAGTTCCCTCAGTGAAGGCAGAAGGATGCGCTTGCCCCCCGGGCTGCTCTCAGTCTCTGGGCGTCGATGTGTACACGCTGTGGGTACAGGAGGAAGCAGAGGTTTTCTGATATTTGCTCTGTAAATGAGCTGATGTGTCTGAGCTAATGTGAGTTACTCGTAGTTTTCAAAGGGACAGCCGCAACCATGTCGTCTTATCTTCCATACAATCTTTGTCGGTGAGAGGGCCCCCCAACCGCAGCCATGCCGCTGACAAAGCCACTTTGCCGACTGTTTACAAAACACCATTGTCCCCAGTAGCCTGCATAACTCAACAGAACTCGCACGCTGTGTGGGCACAAAAGGGGTTTTCTGCGCTTACTGTCCATCTTTGTTTCTCAGCCGGACACTTGTCCTCAGTTCGGGTCAGATGCCAGGGAAGTGTTGGGTGCGTTCAGCTCTTTTCACTGCGTCCGAGTGCCCGGACGAGCTGGCCTTCTCGGTTTCCTGTTTAACAAAGCCCACTTGGGAATCAAAGCGTCCCTTGCTCCTTCAGAAGTGCACCAGCGATGATACGGATGACCGGAATTGGGCCCGTGGAATTGCTCATAAAATATCACAGAGGCAACCTTTCTAGACCCAGGTTCGAAAAACCTTTAAAAATCATTTTTCTCTTTCATTTCAAGGATTTAACTACTGTAATCCAGTGAATGGGCGTCTCTCTCCTTGGGCCAAATCCCTGGACGGGAATTCTGTTCCTGAGGGCGGCGTTCCAGGTGGACTTTGCTTTCTAATTCTTGAGAACATTCTCTGTTATTTGGTTCAGGACAATCAGCTTGTATTATCTTGGTAAACAGGGGAAAGCAGTTAAGATAATGGAGGAGCCCGCTGCGCATCCAAGGTTGGAGCGGGTCCTTGGTCCCTGTCACTGTGGGGTCTCAGAAGGTCAGGAGGTCTTTGTGGAGATCCCTGTGTGTGGAACACAAAGACTGGGACTTGAACTGCGGCTTGTGGTCCCATGAGTCCTGACAGCCACTCTCAGGTCCACACCCGGAAAATGGAGATGACAAAGGCCCCTGCTCCTCAGAGAGCTGAAGCGAGGATTAAATGAAGGGACATGGGCACCCGGACAGGCCTGGCACATTGTTTAATGCTTGTGAAATGTTACTTAAGCTTATTATCATTATTTATTGTTTGAACAGCTTTATTCAGCTATCACTCACATACCATAAAATTCACCCACTTAAAGGCACAGTCAGTGGGTTTCAGTGTATTCATAGAGCTGTGTAACCATCACCACCGTCAATTCTGGAACGTTCTTATCACCCCAAAGGGAAACTCTGCACCGCTTAGTCACCATCCCCGAATATCTCCAACCTCTCCCCACCCCAAGCAACTATTAGTCTACTTTCTGTCACTATGGATTTGCCTATTTTGTACATTCCATATAAATGGACTCATACAATATGTGGCCTTCTCTGACTGGCTTCTCTCACTGAGCATCGTGCTTTCAAGTTTCATCCCGGTTGTAGCGTGTGTCAGTGCTGCATTCTTTTTCATGGCTGAATAATATTCCCCTCTATGGATGGACCACATTTGCTCATCCATCCATCGGTTGATGGACTGTTTCCATTTCTGGGCTATGATGAATAACACCGCCATGAACATTTATGCACAGTCTTTGTATGGATATATTCCTTCCAAAGAAATTCCTGCTCTGAATGGTAATGGTTATTGGACGAGTTTAAGCAGATTCTTGTTTAAATTTTCTGTAACAAACAGTACACAGAACAGACTAGGTCCCAGGCACTGTTCTGAGCGCATTCAAAGATTAACTCATGGGCTCCTTTAACCAGCCCCTGAGATAGGTCTGTGGGTGCTCTGTTCTGCAGACAACGAGACTGAGACACAGAGAGAATAAATGGATTACCCAAGGCTGCAAAGCGAACACACGACAGGTGGGGACTTCATTGGAATACGTTAAGTGAATTTTGCAAGGCAGTTTGGCTCCAGAATTTATTTATTTTTTTTTGAGGAAGATCAGCCCTGAGCTAACATCTGCTGCCAATCCTCCTCTTTTTGCTGAGGAAGACTGGCCCTGAGCTAACATCCGTGCCCATTTTCCTCTACTTTATATGTGGGATACCTGCCACAGCATAGCTTGAGAAGTGGTGCCATGTCTGCACCCAGGATCCGAACTGGTGAACCCTGGGCCACCAAGGTGGAACATGCGCACCTAACTGCTGCGTCACTGGGCCAGCCCCCCGGCTCCAGAATTTACATTCCCCACCACGAGCTTTGCTGCTTCTCAGAGCTGAGGACCTGAAGTTATGGGGGTGGCATCTGGACCGAGTCAGTGGTCCCACCAGGGCGGTTACCATCAGGACTGCGTCCAGAATGCCTGCACCCTGTCAGGACCCTGCAAAGGGGAGCACAGCCAAAACGCACGGACCCTGGCCTCTCGGAGGACAGACATGCCAGCAGGGCCTGGGTGTGTTCCCTGAGCAGTGGGTGCACAGCCCCTAGGCCAGCTCAGAGGCGGGTACCAATACAGCAGCCTTAGCTGTAGTAGAAGGGGAAACAGGCTTAGACAGATGGAGGAGACTGTCCGTTAGTCAGTGTATTTGTCAGTGCTGCATAACAAAGTACCCCAGCTGGTGGCTTAGAACAACAAAAGGTTGTGGCCTCAGTTCTAGAGGCCGGAAGTCCAGATCAAGGTGCTGGCAGTGCCGTGCTCTCGCTGGAGGTGCCAGGTGAGGATGTGTTCCGGGCCTCTCTCCTGGCTTTTGGTGGCTCCTTGGCTCGTGGCAGCATCACTCCAGCCTTCACACGGCTTACTCCGTGTGCGTGTGCCTCTGCGCCCAAACTTCCTCTCTTATAAGGACGCCAGT